ATGCACTATGTAAACATTTCAGGGAAGTCATCGTTTGATATTGTACAGAAGAGCACGTCTGTATCAAGCATGCAGACTTCATCGTGACGTCGCCGCGCTACGACATGAAGTTGGTGAATACGTACATACATAACATGCATCTACAACGCTCTCCGCGCAGTCCATGGAACATATTGTCATTCGAAACCCCGTGCTAGGTCTTGGCATACTAGTTGCCAACTATCGCAAGTTCAGCGGCATCAGAGGGGTCAGCCTGCAAATCCAGTACTCCTTCACGCTCCATAACGGGATGGCTTTTCCAGCCCCCACATGGCCTCATCCGAGATCATACGCGAATGCTTAGCGGGGTCTGGCAGCAATGAGCAGCCACTGCCCAGTGCAACGCCAAGTCTGTTTTGAGTTTGAGAAATTCCTTGGCCGTTGCCTCAAACACGCCGCCGAAAAGTAGGCATGACACGCATTCCCGTTACATGCAGTTTCACTCCCGCACTATCTGGGGTATATCACAGCTGCCATGCAATAAGATGGCTCCTTGGTCCGGCCAAACGCGTGGCGACGTGGCGCCGCACCACGATACGCACGCTAATGAGAAGATGCCGGACGGTGCGGCCGCGTCCAGCGCTGGCAGCGGGAGGGGCCGGATTGGCAGGGGAGGGGTCGGATGGCCGACAGCACATGACTATCAGCGGCGACAATTCAGTGCCGACAGAATAAGGCTTGCAGCCGGCTGTCAGGATCTCAGCACCCCCTCTCCTCGCTCGGTCGGTGGGGTGCCCTGGCACGATTTGAGGGAAGGGGCGAGGTACATACACGTCTGCGTGTCTGCGGGATAGACGAGGTCGTCAGCGGCGCTGCGGCCGCCCAAGTGGAAGAATACGCCAGCGGGGCGACCAACTGCGCCAGATAATGCGGTCGGAAGGTTGCCAGCGGCGCGCTGCCAAGACCGGGGCGGAGGTGGCAGCGGAGGCGGATGAGGGGGCGGTGGAGGCGGCGGCACCAGGGGCCCGTGGCAGAGTGTCACGCGCGGACCGGGAGCCGATCGATACCACTCGGCCCGCGTGACCCAGCGTCGAACCCTCACCGCCGCCCAGCGGCATGACTAATGTGCACAACTTCGTGTCTGCCAGACCCCCACAACGGCGACACAGGGGAGGCCGCGGCGTGGAGGCGGCCAGCGGGCGCGGACCGACAGGGATCTCCTGATCACGGCGATCACGCGACGCTGGCCGCACCCGCTGCGGACGCAGCGGCGGCCGGCCACCACGGCAGCCGCCGGCGGCCGACCTGGCGGTCAGTGTGCCGGCAGCACCTGACACACCCAGCCAAGACCACTGCGCCCACCCGAGGCACTTGCAGTCGCTCGGCACGGTGGTCGGCCGTCTCGCCCAGCTACGCATCCGCCGCCGCCACCGCGGTCTGGCCGGAACACGCGCCGCCCCAGGCCGCAGCGCCGCTCGTCGGCCACGCTGTTTGTGTGTCAACTGTCAGGCGGAATGCCAGCGGCAGGGGGCAGCACACCGCCCCTCCCCTCCCCCGCTCCACTGGGTCGCGTCCCGCCCCCTGCCGCGCGCTATTTCCGTGGCACGTGGAGTGCAGGGTACGTCGACGGGCGACGGTCCCGTGGCCCACTGCGGCTTCCGCTCGTCCACTGATGGAGGATGAATCGGCCAAAGGTCGGAGCCGTGTTTGCTTGCGCCCAATCTGCGAGATTCGGCAACCACTGTTTAACGGCAGTGTAAACAGTGTGGCGTCACCAGATTTCTCCACTGGAGTTGTCTCACCTGCTCCGAGACAACGCCGCATCGCGCAAAGAGGAGAATAGTATTCGGAAGACCACCTCAGAGCCTTGTTCATGCTTCATTAGGTGGGAAGCTCGAGCATGTTTATGACAAGTCCGCGATGGATCATCAGATGTTCTGGATGCAGACGAAAAACGCAAGCTACCATCTCCTGCAATTTTTACTCTATATGAGATAGAGGACAACATCTTGAACTCAAAATATCACCTCTTTGCGGGGAGGGTACCGCCGACAACTCCCTCCACAAACCCAGCTAATCTGCCCTCTGATCAGGGCTACTATTCCCGGCGCAATTTCATCTGGGCCAAGCTATAAAGGCGACCACCCATCACACAGGAGTGCTCCCGAGCAGCCCATGTCCCCCCGTGGCCGAGGTCACCGCTGGCCATAGCGGGGTTATCCCGTCCGGGCGGGCGGCCGTCGAGGAGCCCGAGTTGGCCAGGCGTGCCCACCACTCGCCGATTTTTCCGTCCGGCGGCTGCTAATGCCACGTCAAGGTCAGTCGGCCGCACCGGCGGGGCGTCCGACCGGAGACCTCTCGATTGAACATCGGCGGAGCGTGATGTCAGTGGCGGATTAGCGCCGATGGCGAGGATGTCCCGCGGCTATTGATCGCTCCCGGGGGACGCCGAGTCGGGACGCGCTATCAGCCGGTCGGCTCGCGGCCTACCGACGAGGTGACGCCGCATCCCCGCCGCGGCGCCGTCGACGACTCGCCTGGCACGGCCGTGCCCCCGTGTCAGGTGACTCAGCAGTCGCGTCACACACTGCCGAACATTTAATGGGCACGGACGACACGACTCCGATAACGGTACACAGGTGCCGCGTAGGCGACCCTTTGACGGGAACCAGTTTCACGCTGACCCCTCGCCCCCCCCCCCACCCCCCCACCCATTATCAGCCATGGAGCCGGGGCAGCGAGAGGGAACCCAATTCTGGCACGACCCTGCCTCGCCATCCGGCCACCTGTGCAAAGCGTGGAGCGCAGTCAGCACGGGCCGGCCTTCTGCACCGCCGTGACCGCCGGAGCACCGAGTGGGCAACGCTCCGGCGGTCACGGCGACCGGGCGAGTCCGTTTGCCGGGTGACAGCGGATCGTGACAGAGCGGCCCCAGTCTCGCCTTTGAGCCGTGACACAGCATCTGTTATCCTTCAAGAGCGACGACAAACAACATGGCCGGTCGTTTGTCTTATCAGAGCAAAGCTCAGCTATTATGTGATGGGGCCTTTCATAGCGCTCAAGAGGTCGTCTTGTATACGAGGGAGTGTTTCAGGTGAATCTTTTAAAATTGGGCAGAATTTCAAAATGACCCAGAGCGGTGGCAGATAATGGATTTATAGCGAGCTATGTGGAACCGTAAAAGTCACGGCTGTTGGCAAATTACGACTGAGTAAAGGTATAGTTCTCAAAAATATCCCTGCTGCGACGCCCGACAAAATAACTCAAAACACAATCTCCGCACCACCCAGCCAACGCCAAGCTTGAGAACACCGGGCTTATGACTCGCTGTCAAGACACGCTCAGTCGGAGATGATTCCCTAGCGCCGTGATGACGGTGATGATGACTGGAGTTTTACGGCGCGCCGACTTCTAAGACCATTTTGCACCCTTGGCGCTGTGAGTGCCACTACTGGCAAGTAACGAGCACTGAGACATACAATACAAACGCGGGAGGATTGGACAGTCATTCATCAGAAAGTCACGCAGACATAATGTCATATGCCACGTTAGAAAACGTCGCGTATCGTGAGGGTCGAATGCCCATATCTGCAGGAGTATGACGAAGTCTAGCATTTCTGGACAAGTGTCGCTTGGCCTGGCGGCCGAGCGCCGGGGCCGGGGCGAGGTATGCACAACGCCCACCAGCGCCTGGGCCGCGCGCTGTCCAGCTGTGACATCGATCATAGGCCGTCTCCAGGGACCCAGCCAGCATCGGCCACCGCAGGTGAGCCACCGACGGTGCGTGCTGCCCCGCCCCTTCCTCGCCCTGTCCCCAGACAGGCCGCCCTGCTGGAGCGCGGAAGTAGCTCATTCGCGCCAACATTGGCCACTGTTAGCACATCCTGACCAGAAGCGCGCCACCCATTCGGCTGTGATTTTGATGCCATGACTTCAAGGTCCAAATTGGCTTGGGAAAGTGTATCATAGCCCATCGCAGTGATGTCAGATATGGACAGGCAACCCCATACAAAGTCAAAATACATACTTGACAGCATTGCCAATCAATACTAATGAGTTAAAATATAGCCTTTTGATGAATCCTCACAGTACACCACATCACCATAAGCCCCATCATCTCAGGGCAGATGTTGGTATGCATAACCTGATGGTGCTCAGCCAAAGTCCAAGTGGGTGCAACTTTTAGATTGATCATATGGAAAGGTCAGCTGGCAACTTTCCAGGAGACTCAACACAGCATGGAACAACATCAGGATTGTGCTTGACTAACTGTGACAACTGGAACTGGCATCACGCCATGCCTACTGTTCAGTGTGTTGAGCTGCGTGGTAGTGGCTTGGAGGCCGCAGCTCAGTGATCCATAAACTGGCATTTACACATACATTATTCCCATGACAAACAGCAGAAGCATCCAATGCATTTGCATCAAGATCAATGTGGTCTACAGGAAATTTTGACTTACAACCCACTTGATACTCAATTGAGTCCCAAAGCAATCATCTTTTCCATGGATATGGGAAGGGTCAGGGTTGCATGCCAAATCTTTTTTATCTATTTTTCCTTTCAGTACACAAGCACAGTGATACTATGGACAGTGCATATCATGATCTACATACAGCCAATGAACCAGCATGGGCTCTGCTACATGGAGTAACAGAAAATCCCTGAAACTATGTGGAGTTCAGGCATTACAATTCAGTAAAACATTGAAATTACAATTTCTGGTGATACTAACATCTTACATGCTGGTATTATAAGGAAAGAAAAATATCCAGGCCTCTGGGCTTTGTTAACCTTTGATCTGTAGCACTAATTGGGAACATAGAACAATCATAGGGAATGTAGCACAACCTTTATGAACAAGCACCAAGGAAAGACACTTACAGAAAGACTTGGAGGCTGTCTGGTCCTTGTGGGAAATCTGCTATCCCCACTCCACATGACAAGTTCAGAAAACCTTTCCCCAAAATGGCAAATACAAGCTTCTAACTAAGAAAATGCACATAACATAAACAACATACCTGATATGCTAGTAAGTCCTTATCATCTGCTCCAGGCAGTTCAAATGAAGGTGTGTTGGGTCCGAATGGTCCTTTTCCAGGATATGATGTACTTCTCCTGAACTTGTTTGGTGACAGGACCATCCCTCCTCCTCCCTGACTGAAGGTTGGGCTGTACTTCCTGTTCATATTTGACATGTTGGTAGGCATATTACCAGACATGGGGGCCAGAGGACTCAGACTTGAGGCCTGACGTCCACGGTTCCAGCCGGGCATCCCTGCCATGTTATGCTGTGGTTGGAGACCAGCTCCCCAGTTGTTCTGCTGGGGCTGTGGAGCACTCACAGTGGACCATGCAGGATACCCTTTGTTTGCCATATAAGGATTTGGTGGCCTGCTGGGTGGCATATTATGTGATGCAGTAATTGCCCTTCTCTGGGATGGATTCTGCTGTGCCAGACTGAACTGAGCACCCAGACTTGCACCCATCAAGGCATTTGGGTTTGAGTTGTGCATCTGTGAGTATGGTGGATAGTTTTGATACGATGCACCATTCAGGGCCTGCATGCCACTTAAAAAGCTGTCATCCACAGAGCTTGTTGACCACAGACTTGAAGGAGAGCCACTCAAGCTGCCATTCATCACAACAGGATTACTTTCAGAGTATGACTGACCATGATGGAGAGATGTGCCTAAACCAATATTGTTAGAAAATGCACTAGCCCCATTGACATTTTGTGCCAATCCTGAATGGTCCACTGGGCCATTCTTGTCCAGGGTCTTCAACTTCTCCTGGCTTCCAGCATGATTTACTAGAACATTGCTGAGACCTAAGACATTTTGACTATCTTCATTATATCTTTGACTATCATCACTTGGAACTTCTGGGTTTGGTGAAAGATGGGGTGGCGACTTGCTTAGAGTCTTCTCAATCAGCAATTCATCCTGCTGCATCGCTGTACTCCGCTGGCTTTCGGCTTTGGTCAATGCTGATAACCCGCTCGCCGAGTTCATGTAAAAAGAGCTTCCCGAAGTAGTTGCTGGGATAGCGTCCGGGCAGATGGCACTAATGTTAGACGAAACATTAAATTGCAAATCACCCATTGGCCTACACCCCCACCAGGCGCAACCCCCGCCTCACACCTCCCCTTCCACAGTCAACCGGCAACTCTTAGCACACACACATCTTCCTGCTTCGCCCAGCCTTCTGCGTTCAACAAATCCAGAAGTTTGTGTATTGGAAAACTTGAAGAGAATGCTGTAAGATGTCGCTAGTATCGAGCAGGTGACTGGTAGTATATAGTATAAGAGTTTGTCTAGCAGTATTTTTTGTATAAGCAATGACATCATCTTTTTCAAGAAGCAGATCTTCGTAAAAAAACAACTGGAGACGCACTTTTTTGGTGCATAACTGGTTTTACTCCGACTTGAAGCCCTGAGCATAAGGTACAGGTATACTCGTTCTAAGTGCATAAGCTAAATAAACTAGGTTTCCACATTCATCCACTTAATATAATATATTCTCTTTTAATGTATTGTTCATGTCGTGGTTTTTGCTATTGCGATCAAAGTTTTGAGGTAGGTTTCAATTATTTCAAACCCGCTTTGACAAATGCTTCTGAAAAACAGTGTACGATGGCATCTGGCAAATAAATCACGAAGATTACAAAGACGGCTATGTAAAGACGTACACTGCCGCAACAACCTACTTGTTTTCGTTTGCAGTCTTCTTAGCGACGTTTCGTGATACCGCGCTGCGTACTGGGATTGACGGCTCGACCTTTTTTCCGGGCGCAAATAGCTAAGGTAGTTGACGTGCACCGAAGCTACAAATATACCAATGAGCTCCAGTCGTCTCTGGGCCCGATCGTATCAAAGGTTCAGTTTTGTGAGATGGGCCGGGTAAACCAAGGCCAATTCATTGGAGTAGAGCTTCTCCCATATTGGCTCAAATTTTGTTAAAATATCTTTTGGAGCCAAGTGTTGCAATTGACAGGTATGCCAAGGGAAAAATCACATGTTAAAGCCGCTAACAAAAATCAATGTATACCTGCCACCCATTCAAAGTGTATTTTCCAGTTTTGCATGTAAGTGTACAGGCACTTATTGCATACATGTGTGTTCATTATACACATATAGAAACTGCCTTTCAGGTTATTTTACTTAAGCTAAATATGCCTCCAGAAGGCAACTGCTGACCAGCCATCAAAAATCACTAAACAACACCATTATCAGTGCATAGATAGCTGATACTCCAAGGAAATGTGATGTCCCCAATGTGTTTTCAGGCAAACATGCTATAAAAACATTTTTACATACAATTATGCACAAATTCAGCCCAGTTTTGCCTGGCCTGCCTTTTGCTGATTTTCTATGACTGACCTGTAGCTCATGTGTGTTTAATTCAGGCCAGGACCAGTTATTCAAAATTTTCAATGTATTTTATCTGTAAAAAGAAATTCAGAGTATGTTGTTGTTTTCCTTAATACAGTTAAAGCACATCATAATTCCTTGAAACATTGGCTCTCTGTGCTCTGAAGTAGGTGATGGCAGTGTGCCAAATGCGGGAATCTTGGTTTGCTTCATGTGTGTGTTGAAGTTATTGCTAAGATGTTAGCATCACACTGGATATATTAAATGGCTATCAGACATATTTGGCTTTGTTGAAATGAATGTTTTTTAGCATTGGTGGATGCAACATTTATAGTATATGGTATCTGATTGATGCAGAAAGTCCAAAAATTAGATCTTGAATTTAGAGACAGACCTGCCTTCTGGTTTTGGGAACATACCTGCCAGGATGGGCCCCATCTTCCTGGCACAACAGATGGAACATGGAGGCTGCTATGCCTGGTTTATTTTAAGTGTCCATATGGTGGATCCTGCTTGGTAGCACTGCTATGCCATAACTCATTCTGGACTGGGATTAAAACATGGTCTAAAGTAAGTTGTGGTAGTCTAGGTTGCTTTCAGAGCAACACCTTCCCTGAATATACAGGGCCTTCTTGGGGCCAAAGGTTCCAATATTCTTCTTTTTTATTTTTATTTTTTGCTTTGTAAAAGATGTCTGTTGGAGCTTTTTGATACCAAAGCGGCCTCACAATAGAACAAAATAAGATCAATACTTTAGCCCATCCTACTCCATTTACCAAAACCAATTGATAATGTTGAAAAGCATGGAATACAGGGCACAAATATCATTACCTGGTCAAATTATTGTAACACATGTTAACACATAGCATGTTGCACCTAGGCACGAAAACATGACTTCAAAACAAATGGGGTTGGTACAATCTTTGCATATGCAAACTACAAGGGCATGACAAACTGCTGTTTGTTGACACTGTCCATAATCTAGCCCTGGCATAATACTCAAGCAACTACCAGTCTTATTAACTACTTGTCTGGTCCCCTGCTCATTACTATTTGGCTTGCAGCACTAAACTTCATCAGCCAGTTGCTTGCAAACATAGCAGCCCTGGCTGTCCATAGTGACCTCCACTGAAATGGGTAGCCATGGGATGACATTACAGCTTTTCTGATCTGAGAAATGACTAGTTCAGTCTAAACAAAACCAGTTGACGTGCTCCATGTCATTCCATCAGTCATTTGAAATCTGGCAATATCATGTCCTCATGGGGACTTTTAAAAGACCAGCTGACTGCGGGATGGTGCTATAGGTGCCTCTGATATTAGAAATCTTTTTTTTCAAACACTCCATGGTGATAGCATCTCCATGACATCATTGTGGTGAGCTTCTGCAGCCATGGCAGCTGTTGCCATTGACTGTGCCATGGCCATGTACATTATTTTTGCCACCAAAGATGTTCTTTAAATGCCATCTGACCTTGCATTCACATGCCAGGCAGCCCATAAGCCAGTTGGGCTGTAATTGGTATGTTGTGTGGATACAAAAATGAAGTTGTCACTTCTACAGAAAGCGAAATGATGATACACAGCTCTAGAAAAAGTCAGCCTACACTAATTTAAAAGTGCAAAATAAGCAATTTAAGTCAATTTATCTTAATTTGATGCTATGTTATTGGGTCTCCTGCACAAATATGTATCAGAAAACACCATTGATCTGTTGTGAACATTAACACTGCTTCTGTGGAGTCAATATGACCCCCCACCCCAAAGGTTTTCCTGAATGATTTCTGAAAGGTGTGTTTAAGTAGTGCCAAATTGTGCTTTGATGTGGATAATAAAAAGTGTATCCTTAAGTATCAAAAATATAGATATAGCTTGTGAGGTGGCTGACCTATGTCCAGCTGGCATGTCAAGGTCAGACCATGGATTCAGCAAAGGCAATTTCTAGGAATTTGCTCAACCTGATGCAACAACAAAGTGTCAGACAAAGTCACCCATCTTTGAGATAGTCTCTGAGGCAAAACAGCAATTGAACTAACAAATTCCATTCACCTGGGGTCGGGCATGAAGGTCAGTTCTAGGCCAAACCAACTGTTTTTTTTTTTTGCTAGAGAGCCTTTTATATGAGCTAGTTACTGGTGCTCATCTTGAATTTATTAATGACAGCAGCAGAATGAGACACCTTCCATGAATTTCTTAAAGGTCAGAATAGGCCACTGACCTAAAATGACCTGGGTCATCATTAAGTTTTGTAGGAACATACTGCCTGGTGTTATCCCTGATGCTTATTCAAATGCAAAAGTTATAGCAGTCCTGTGTGGTTTCACTTACCATAACCCTCTCAAGGTCAAACAAGCTCGCTGGCCTTAAATGAGCAACAGTGACCTTTTGCTTAGAACAGGTATCTAGGTTTACTGCAGTGACATGAGAAGATCTGGGAGCACTTTCAACACGAATCTGTAGTTCTCATATAGGCCAACACACCCTGTGAATTGGGTGTTTCTAGCTCTCATATGCTTGCTAATCTCAGCAGATGGGTCAAGTTGACCCCCACCCCCACCTGAGCAGGGGGTAACCAGCTGGCCCACTGTACTCAAGTTATTGATCTCATGCATTTGACTTAACTTATGTTATTCCTATGATACCTATATTGCATCTTGCCAGTCTGGGTAGGCCTTTTGAAATCTGTCAATTCTTGCTATTTTTGCATCATTTTAAGTTTGTCACTGTCTAGATCTCCACTATCTTGGCTCCAGGACCAAGAGGCCCATTCTTGTCATGCATCTGATTTTCAGTGTCTGGTCGTGGCACATTTAGGCTCTGATGATTTCCCCATCAGCTTGTTCCGGACCAAGCTATTCCAATGCCACCAACCGATTCCAATGTTCAGGTTCTCATTATTTCCTCATCAGTTTGTTCCAGGTCAACTGATCCCAATGCCAGCCTGCCTCAGGTCCAATATGTCCAGTAACACCTATCTGGGGAATCAGGGGTTTCTTGTCGTCCTTCGGGGGTTTCTTATCGTCCTATCGGGCTTGTGAGCCCGATTAGGCGTCGTCTGCCCTTGCATGATATGTTGGTGTCAGTCTGCGCTGCCTGATCATGTGTCAGCCTGTCCGAGCATGATAACGCTGGTGTCAGACTGCTCCGACGCCGATGTTTTCGGCGTCCGCATGGTCTGATCCAGGGCATCCGGGCATCAGTCTGTTCCGAAACTAATAATTCGGTTGTGAACTTGTTCCCTTATTCCAGTATCCGAATAATTTAGATGTTAAGGTCAGTTCAGTTTGTTTGTACCGAGCGTGCTGGTTGCGCTGTCATCGTCCTCTAGACTCAAAGGGTCTGCTATCAGCTTGTTGCGAGCCTGGTGATTTCCAGCCAGCCTGTTAGAACTGAACCAGTGGGGCTGAGGCCGGGCCGGACGCCCCCTCCCTCTGACGCCGTCCGGCCGTTTCCGCCCGCCGGCCGGCAGCGCATCACGTGCTCGTCGGGCTAGGCTTCTGTGACTCAGTCAGCCGCGCCCGGCAGGCAGGCGTGCGTCCCAGCCGAGCTGAGCTGCGCCCCCGATGGAGAGTCACACGGCGCCGCTGATGGGGGGACGACCCTCCTACTCGGACCTCCAGCACCCACTGTTCGACAACAGCGAGTCCCGGCCGCGGGTAGGTGCCCCGCCGCCAGACCCCCGTCCCCAGAAGGTGGCCGCGACAGCTGCGGCTCGCCGCGACAGCTGCGGCAGCGTTGTGCGACGACAATCCGCGTGTGGTGTTTTTGTTGTTGTTCAGTGCCAGCTGGTGAGAAGATGGTGCTGCATGTACTAGGTTTTTGTGGTCGGGATTTATTTGCTATGCAGCAGGACATCTGTTGCTAGTGTGGTGCTGTTGTGTGTGCTTACGTCGTTCGTCGTTGCGTGTTTACATCTCTGCTCTCTGTGGCCATGCAACGTTGGTGATGACGCTTGTTTTGAGCTGTTATCTGGTAGGCTAGTTGTGGGCTGTCGTGTGGTCTATGGTGATGGCAGATGCTGCCATGGCTCGTGGTCATGTGGTGTATGTTGTTCGTTATATACGTGGATGATAATTGACTGAGGTGTGACATTGGATTCGCCTCGAGTACACAGTGCTGCATTGTGTCCCTCAGCCAAAAGAAAGGTCTCACAACGAAAACGTCCACTCGCACTGTTTTTGTTGTAGTTCGCATTGTTCCTAATGCATTTCAAAGTGATACTTCTGCCTTTTGCAATTTATCCTAGCATTGACATTGACCTGTTATTGTTCCTCAGTGGTCAGACTTGTGTGTTATGCACATTGATGATGTTGGTATCTCATGGTCACATAGCCTGTGGCATAGGCATTGCTGCTATCATTTCGCATGGTTGAGCAGCACAGCATGTACATGGCTGTCATTGTGTCTTGTGGCGAGACAACGTATGGCACGTGTGCAACTACCGTTACGTTTGGTACGGCAGTGCTCGACATGTACGTTGCTGTTGCTGCGTCCCGTGATTGCGGGGCGTTTGGCGCAACCATAGCTTCCATTGTGCGTCACTGTTAGACTTAGGTGCCGTGTATGACGAATTAGTTGTGTGTGATAATACGACGCATTACGTGTGACGCAATGAGAAGTGCTTATTGTGGGTGCCTTTATGTACCATGGTCAGGCAGGATGGGGGTGTCCAGAGCTGCTGTGTCTCCCGGTCAAACGGCATGCGGGGTGCCCATGGGTGTCCAGAGCTGCTGCGTCTGACGGTCAGACGGCGGGCATGGTGTCCAGAGCTGCTGTGCCTCCCGGCCAGACGGCACGCGGGGTGCCCAGGGCTGCTGTGTCTGACGGTCAGACGGCGGGCAGGGTGTCCAGAGCTGCTGTACAGCGTGCGGTGTGCCCAGAGCTGCTGCATCTCACGGTCAGGCGGCGTGTGGGATACCCAGAGCTGCTGTGTCTTGACGGTCAGACGGCATGTGGGGTACCCAGGGCTGCTGTGTCTGACGGTCAGACGGCGTGTGGGGTACCCAGGGCTGCTGTGTCTGACGGTCAGACGGCGGGCGGAGTTGCCAGGGCTGCTGTGTCTGACGGTCAGACGGCCGGCGGGGTGCCAGGGCTGCTGTGTCTGACGGTCAGACGGCGGGGCGGAGTGCCCGGGCTGCTGTGTCTGACGGTCAGACGGCGGGCGGAGTGCCCAGGGCTGCATGTGGTCTGACCGGTCAGACGGCCGGCGGGGTGCCCAGGGCTGCTGTGTCCTGACGGTCAGACGGCGGGCGGAGTGCCCAGGGCTGCTGTGTCTGACGGTTCAGACGGCGGGCGGAGTGCCCAGGGCTGCTGTGTCTGACGGTCAGACGGCGGGTGGGGTACCCAGGGCTGCTGTGTCTGACGGTCAGACGGCGGGCGGGGTACCCAGGGCTGCTGTGTCTGACGGTCAGACGGCGGGCGTGGTGCCCAGGGCTGCTGTGTCTGACGGTCAGACGGCGGGCGTGGTGCCCAGGGCTGCTGCGTCTGACGGTCAGACGGCGGGCATGGTGTCCAGAGCTGCTGTGTCTGACGGTCAGACGGCATGTGGGTACCCAGGGCTGCGGTGTCTGACGGTCAGACGGCGTGTGGGGTACCCAGGGCTGCTGTGTCTGACGGTCAGACGGCGGGCGTGGTGCCCAGGGCTGCTGTACAGCGTGCGGTGTGCCCAGAGCTGCTGCATCTCACGGTCAGGCAGCGTGTGGGATACCCAGAGCTGCTGTGTCTTGACGGTCAGACGGCATGTGGGGTACCCAGGGCTGCTGTGTCTGACGGTCAGACGGCGTGTGGGGTACCCAGGGCTGCTGTGTCTGACGGTCAGACGGCGTGTGGGGTACCCAGGGCTGCTGTGTCTGACGGTCAGACGGCGTGTGGGGTACCCAGGGCTGCTGTGTCTGACGGTCAGACGGCGTGTGGGGTACCCAGGGCTGCTGTGTCTGACGGTCAGACGGCGGGCATGGTGTCCAGAGCTGCTGCGTCTCCCGGTCAGACGGCATGTGGGGTACCCAGGGCTGCTGTGTCTGACGGTCAGACGGCGGGCGTGGTGCCCAGGGCTGCTGTGTCTCCCGGTCAGACGGCGGGCGAGCGGGACTCGTTCCCCACACGTCTGACGGTCAGTGCCTGACGTCATTGTCTCAGGAGAGGGCCATCAACCTGGTGGTGGGTTTTCTGACGGCGCTCATCGTGTTCGTCACGCTTATCAGCGCCTTCGTCTTCCACGAACACTCGCCGCGCGGCGTCAACATATTCTTCGGCGTCATCATCGTCCTCATCTGCGCCTCGCACCTCACAGTGGTAGGTCAAAACTCGTCAGCCGTTTCAGAGACGATTGATCCCTGGCACGCCGCATCCTGGTCAGTTCAGGTGAGACAAACATGGCGCGTCATGTTGCGATTTGGGTCACTGTCGCCGGGTAACAGGTGTCTGATGGCTCTTAATCCACATGGCTAACGCCTCCGTTGGTGCGGTCATGTTCGGGGCTCTGTTTTCCACATCATGACTTTTGTAGCTGAGGCTATTGGATTTGGTTTAATTATTTACAGTACGGCATCAAGTAACGACAAAAGCGTTCTTTAACTTACACGTGCAGAAAGTTGCAACCGATTCTGGCGACTGCGTTCTTTTGATCAGACGTTCGCCCTTTTCCCTGGTATACTTCTGCGAAGTTTTTTATTTCAACTTTGTGAGTAGGCATCCCATATGGGATGCTAGTATCATGATGCAGTTATTCATGCCGAAACATTTCAGCGTTGTCATTTGAGGCCCATATCACCTCAAGTACAATTGCACCTCTTTTTGCATTCACCGAACTTAGCTTACTTCTTTGGGCGTTTCAACTGTCGGCTATTTGCGGAACTATGCCCGGGTAGACGTTTTTGTTGGACACAACCTATTTAATGAGATGGGAGCTCATGCTGCGCGTGTTGTCTCTGTTCAATCGGACTCTGCTTTTGTAACCAGCTGGGTTTCCTCATCCTGTTAAGTTGTTCGTGCAAAATAAGTCAACCTTTAGCATCATTCCACCGGTGCACATTTAGCATATTGGCGTAGTTGTCGTGGTTGTCTTATCTGTTTGTAACGGAAATGACGGTTCAGATGGGTGAGACGATGCGGACTAAGGTGCGATGATTATGGCATGTTCTGGCTATCTGACAAGGATGATCGTGTTCAGGTTTTGGCGTCAACATCGGCCAGACGGTGGACTTGAAGTACTTCCAAGGGCCGACAGATGTCACTGTGTTGCAGATCTGGTGGTACAGGCAAGGCGACGTGGACCCGAAGTTCCGCGTCCTGATCTTCTTCAACGCGTTTTGCATCGTGCTGCTGTGCGTGTGTGCCAACCTATACTTCCACCTGCCGGACCCGCAGAAGCCGTGAGACTCGGCCAGCTCGCTCGGCCTCCCGTCGAGGTCGGGCGACGCCATCGGCCGGCCCGTCCGGCTCGCCCGACGCTGAGCTCTCGCCGACGGGCGCAGGCGCCTGCCAGAGAGTGCGGAGCCACTCGGCGCGACGCGGCGCTCTTGTCGCCGCCGCGCTCCCCGGCTATTCTTGTTCCGTTCTGCTGTGATTGAAGTATTTACGTTTGCCGGGATGCGTACAGATCGCCACGAGCACTCATGTTTTGTCTCGCGCTGGTATCCACGTGGAGACATGGGTTTGTCGGCGGCGTGCACACCCGGAGGATGCCTTGGCACGGTCGCCAGCCACGTGGCGTCCAGCCAGTCACCGCACCCGTCGGGTGCTGAGCCGGTAGTCCGGGTGGCGCCTGCTCAGCGCCGGGTGGTGCTCTTCGTTTTGCCGGGCCTCTATTCCATGCTTACTAGTACTAGTCTCACGCGTGCTCTTCAAAGCATGCTATTGTTGAATATGGAAGTGTGGTGTGCTCGGACTGCACCTAGACGGCAGGTGTGTCAGCGGGTGCTCGGAGTGTTCTGACTTGAGCAGGAGAGCGCCAGCCGCGCGGTGTTACTGATCCTGGGTCACACCAGGGCTCTCGGACAGAGCGTGTCCTTCGACTCGACACTGCAGACTGGGAGCCACCCACGGCGATGACCTCAGTGACGAGGTCAAACTGTCAAAGATACTGATCTTGGATCCCTTTCATGCTGCGAGGGTTGTTGCATGCAATAACGCGATATGTATGAAGTATACGGAAATCGTACCATGTAATAATATGTAGAGCATGAGACTGCCTTGTGCGCAGGGGTGAAATCTTGTCCTGTTTTCGCGAAATCGGAAGGCTCTTACAAGAAAACTGACTGGGGTTTGTTAGCTTGATCATCTATGCATGCAGTAGCGTGTCTTGGTACGTTGGTGTCCACGGTAGCTGTTGTTTGGGTAAATGCTGCAGCCTTTCCGGGTCGGCCTCCGGCTCGGCCCGTCGCCCGCGTAGTCAGTCGCCGCCGCATAATGGGAACCCAGACTCTCGGCGCTCGTCACCGGTAAGTCGATGGCGCGTCTCCCTCCGTCCGCCGGTGGGCGGCGTGCGTCTCTACTGCACCCTGGCCGCGGCCGTGGCTCCGCCTGGCCGTCCTGTGACCCGGCGCTCTCCCGTGTACCCCGCTCCCTTGTACCCCACCCGTGGGCCGCGCAGACTGGCCGCGACCGGGCGAAGCTCGCCGGCACCCTGGCCGCGGCCGCCGCTCAGCCTGGCCGTCCTGTGACCCGGCACTCTCCCGTGCACCCCGCTCGCGGGCCGCGCAGACTGGCTGCGGCAGGGCGAAGCTCGCCGGCGCCCTGGCCAGCCGCCGTGAAATGAAGACAGACCGCGGCCCGGCAGGCGCCGCCCGCTCGTGATACTTCCTCTGGTATACCCGCCGAGCACCGTCGCTCCCGCCGACTCCTTACCTACCCATGCCCGACTAGTTCACGCTACGTGGGGCGCTGTTGTTGGAGTGTGACGGAATGGGACCCCTGGCGGTCCTGAAGACGACGGTCAGGTAGAAAACCCTCGTTGTTGTGTTGTGTATTCGACGCCATCGGTTATCCCTCGCTTTGGTCGGCTGTGGTGCTGTGTTATCCAATATAGGTAAAGATGTGCAATCCTTGTGTTTCATCTGCATTACAGCAACTGGCCAGGCCGAAAGGTTACGAGAAACAATGGTTATCTTGCTAGAAACCGGGACCTGATTTTCATGCGGTGCAAAAAAAGTGGCAACGGTATTAGAAATTCGACACCACTGACATGCTTGAAAACAAATTACTCGCGAGCGTTCGTGGATGAAATAGCGTATTTCTCAAACGTTCTGCCCCACGGGCTTGTCTTCGAAGGACTTTCCTGCTGACTGTTTAGGACCTCCCGGTAGACTGTAGCTCGCTCGATGCTGAGAGGGCGCTACTGTGGAAAATCTAAAACCTTAACGTCGATTACTGTAGATTCTGAGAAACGTACATACAATATGCAGTTTTTGTATGTTTGCCGGCCATCGTGGGATGTGTTGTTCGGTGTGATTCAGTTCCTTGGTTCCAGTTTGGTAACCGATAGTCCGGCGGTCTTGTCCATGGGGGCGTATGCAGGAATTCGCAACGGGGGAGTGGGTCGCGCATCTAGAAAACAATTCGCTGAAAGCCCGGGCTAGCGTGCAAAATTTCCCGCATGAGTGAAACAATATGGCATGTTCTGGACTTATTCAGTTTTACTGTCTATTTTTTCTTTGTTAGCACGCATTCAGGCGCATATTACTGCATGCGATAAAATGAGTAATGGCTATTAACATATTGCTGCTTAATGCCGGGGCTGATATCGCGTTCGAATCAAATGGGTGCATCGATAGCGTGCCCTACATCCATGACGCATTCTGACAACTGGATGTTAACGGGAATCTTTCCCAGTTTGGTTGCAAGCGTGGCGCATCAGTAGAGATAAGGCCCTGCCTGGCGTCCGCGCGGCCGCTGGACGCTGGCCGGCGGCACCGGCGCGCCATCACTCAGCTCTTGTTTTTGCCGAGCTGCGCCGAACCGGCGGCGAAGTTCGCCGAAGCCGCTGGCCCTGAGTCACGCGCTGCGTCCGCCGACGCCGCCCGCGTTCAAACGTCGATCGACGCCGACGGCCGGCCACTCGTGCGTCGGCGGCGGCGCAGGTCGGTGCGTCGCCACGTCGGCCGCGCCGACACCGGGACCGGCCTCCGTCCAGCCGTGACCGGCCGCGTGTGGTGCTGACGGGCGCGCGCTGCGCCGACTGCGGGTCCTCTCAACCGAGCGTCTCAGGGACGCGGCCACCGGCCGTGTTGGCGGCCGTGCTCGCCGGCTCGCTCCGGGGCGGCAGTCGCCGGCGATGTGGGCGCAATGCCGACGCGGGACCGGCGGCGCTTGACGAGCCCGGCGCGAAGCCGTCACCTCTCGAGCGGCGGCGGCGGGCGGCTGCCGACGCCGCCGCCGCGCGCCATGTCCTCCGACTCGGTGGACAAGAGTTCGCGCACGGTGGACGGCTCAGCGCGCGGGGCGCCCGGCCCGCCGCATATCACGGTGGACATTCGAGGCGAGGCCGGTGTGATCTCTGGGGACATTGAGGTGGGACCAGCGCCGGCCCCGGGGCCCCCCACGGCGAGGCAGCGTGTCCCAGACCCGCCAGCGCTCGAGAGTCAGGTCCCAGACATGCCAGCTGTCGAGAGTCTGGTTCGAGACCTGCCGGCGGCCGAAGGCCGGGCGCAGGACCCTCTAGCGGTGGACAGCCGGGTTCAGGACGGACCAACGGTAAAGACGCCGACATCGGACCTCAGGCCACCAGGACGCTTCTCCCAGTCCCCCTTCGTCCCGATCTGCAGTCATCCCGGGCTCTGCAGCGGAGGTTGGAGGAGCTGGAGCAGGAGAACCGCTATGGATTCGTGGTGCCGGCTGTGGTGCCGCCGCTCTTCCTCGGCTCGACGGCGGCCACGCCGCTCTCGTCGCGCTGTGGTACGCCCATGCACCCATTCTACGACCGGCTGGACAGCGCGCACTCTTCGCTGTCGGCCCGCGGCGCCGGCAGGAAGGTCCGCTTCGCAGACGAGCAGCTCGACTCGCCGACCGCTGGGCCGAGCCGCGCCGAAAGCACAGGCAGCGGCATCCGGAAGGGCGCCAGCCGAGTCGTCAGCGCCGGCAACGGCATCGTCAACGGCAAGCCGTCGGCAGCGCAGGCGGTGGGGCCGCCACCAGCGCCGGCGTCGGAGCCCGGCGCGGTGCAGCACGCGCACGCGGCGACAAGCGCGCCGCCGGTGCGCGGCCGACGGCGCGTCACTGTGAGCCGTGAGGTGCAGACGTCGCCGGAGCGGCCGCACTTCAGCCTGCTGCCGCGGCCGGCCACCGGGCCGGGCGGCCGGCTGGCGCGGCTAGCCGCTGCCGGCGCGCGCTCCTGTCTGGGCGCGCTGCTGCTGCTGGCCGGCTGGCTGCTGGCCGCCGCCGCGCTGCTGCAGCTGGCCGAGGCGCCGGCCGAGCGGCGCGCGCTGGCCCAGCTGGCGCGCCGCCGCGCCGACCTGGTGGTGGAGCTGGCCACTGAGCTGCGCCAGGTGGTGCCGCACCAGGCTGTCTGGCGCCGCAAGATCGCCGACTACATGGGCCGTCTGGAGCGCACTGTGCTGGCGGCGGCCGAGCGGGGCCAGGCGGCCGACGGCCACCGCTGGAGCTACGGAGCCGCACTGCAGAGCATCACCGCCTCCGCCGTCACTCTGGGTTAGTCCTCTGCCACGGCCACTCACACACGCATTGCTGTAGCCATTAGGCACAGCAGGTGCTGAGAGGTACGCTAGATGGGATAGATAACTTACGCAGGAATACTTTATTTAGGATCATCCGTCATTGTCGCACACATCAAGCAAGGCTAAAGATAGTTGGTTTCCAAGTTGCATTATCATTCCTTTCGTAATATATTCGGTTCTCCTGCGGTTTAAGTGTACCCATCAAGTTTCTGGGATTATGGTTGCAATGGAGACAGGCTCACTGGCTGCCTGATACTTTGTTTGGTAGCAGTAGGGTTGACCCGATAGTGGGTCGTGATGATCAAACAGGTGCTGCTAAGTGTATGGCGTAGACCCGCCCTAAGTCACGCTGGAACATGTTCACCACGATCGGCGCGATGCACTCGTGTTTCACGGGGTCAGTTGACTCGCGGGCATTTGGCTGTCAAATGAGGCGGAGTACCTGCACATGGCACTGACCTCCTGGGACTGACGAGTTATCGCCTCATTCTCAACGACTGTTTCGTGTCGCATAGCTAGCGTTCTTATCTACTTTAAGGCAGAGTAGGTGCGGTGATCGTTTTAGTGATCACCCGCTCTGTCAGATACCGAAGGTACCCCAGCCCGAAGCCGAGCCGCTGACTGGCAGGGCCGCGTCACCCACCCATCGTGACCATGGCCGCCGTCGGTGTCGGCGCTTCATGGCTGCCCCGAACCGACGATCGATCGGCGAATGCCCACCCGGACCATATTACAACCGGCTTGATTTGCCTAAGGTCGCCGGTCTCTACTTGGAACCGAAGGTTAATTATCTGGCCGCGCCAGGGAACCGCCGCTCTTGAGGAACAGAACCGTCAGCAGCGATGAACGGGAACGGACTGCAGAGGCCGACACATGACCGGCGACGGCTGACGCGCCCTGGTGCAGTGGCTGGTGATGGCACGGGAACGTTATACCCATATGTGTACCAGCACATGCCGCACGAACCAATGCGCAGAGTATTTATGAGCATGAAGGCATCCGGAAAAGCGCAACTTCGCTTGTCCAGAACGGTCGCGGTTGCGGCGTGCTGATACACCGATACTGTGTGCTGTCATCTGACAGGAGCCATTGGATGTTGAGGACGGCGGCCCGGCTTGGATGACGGGACAGGGCAGATAAACGAAACAAAAGTCGCCGCAGGAGTGAAACAGAGACAATGTTCACTTGTGGTCATAAAACGATATGGATACCCGTCTCGTCGGGTGGGATCAAACGCGTTCTCTGCGTGCAGCGTATCCATGGCTGCAGTTCGAGCCCGTTCTACCCCTGCCATGCATATAATGCCACACGCAGGAACATGATGTCTTTTTTACCCGTCTTCCAAGCCAGCTTTTCCCCGACAACCGTCCCGCTAGTTCCGCCAAATGGCGGCGTCGCTCACTAATTGGCAGTGCCGGTCGGCCAACGTCGCTATCTGACCGCTGCCGTGCCGGTAACGACAGGGAGGCCCCCGCACGGCACGTGTCCACGTGCGGCACGTGCCGCCGCCCGGGGCCGCTCGTTGGCGCCCGGCGTCAGCGCCCCACGGGCGCACGGGCGCCGCGCCCCGCCGGCTTTTACTTACCGCCGGCGTGCGTGGCTCGGCCGGCGTTTGCACAGCGGTCGCTACGGTAGTGGTTAGTGGCGGCGGCGGTACGTGAAAATGCATTAGCGTCAACCAGCAATCGACCAGAGCTGCGAGAGGGGGATGGGACGTGCAGTCATCGAAAAACGTGTGCGGAAGGACGTCGGGACGGCAGGCAAGCGGCATTTCTATCACTGGGTCCAATGTTGTGGTCCACCGCCTTTATATTCGTAAGTCTAGACAAGCACCCAATCTGAGAAGTACCCAATCGTAAGTACGGTCGGTCAACGTGAATATTTCAGAGCAGCCTATGCGGTGTATGAGCATAAACCCACCGTTCGCCTATAATTCTCTGCCACAGTTGGGGTAGGGACGAAGATGCGGTGCAGGTCTGTAGACATTACTGACAGAATGAAACGCCAATGTACCATAAAGTTAAATTCATATAGACGTGGCTACAAATTACGTTCACGTGTAATGCTCCACACGCACAGCACGCCACGGCACTCTTAAATCTTAAGACACCAAAAGGGGTACGAATACGCAACATACCATTGTCGCCCGCTACGTCTAGTGATGGAGAGTGTTGAAACACTTGGCACAGCGGAGCGCAAGACAGGTATCTTCGATGGCAGCATGCAATGAGATTTTTCAACCAGAGTTAGCGTGCCAGCTGCCCCACCTGAACTTTTAAACGTTGCATTGTCCGTCCATGGTTACACCATGTGTTCCGCCCCATGACACGGATCGCATGAGCCAGAGCGGCTGCAGGCCGCAT